TTCCTTTCCTTTCCTTTCCTTTCCTTTCCTTTCCTTTCCTTTCCTTTTCCTTTTCCTTTTCCTTTTCCTTTTCTTTTTCCTTTTCCTTTTCCTTTTCCTTTTCCTTTTCCATTCAAGTCCTTCAAATACATTCAGGTCCTCCAGGATGGAGACGAGAGTTGTCACCAAAACTTATTTAGCAGAGAGTAGAAATGGGGACAATTTGCATGTTTGGGGGAGGTGAAGAACCAGGGTTAGATACCCTGAGGTAGTGTCGTGCCTAAATGCTCCCGGGGCTGACTCCAGGACAAATATTGTATCCCGGCTGGTCTGGATGCTGGCACTGAGCTCCAGCCCTTCCTGGAGGTGACTCGCTATGGATGAAGGCTACTAGGGAAACAGGGTCCCTCTTTTCTTGTGAGTGAGCTCCTTCCTAGATTTGGGTACCATGTGGGAGTCAGGCACCACCCCGGGCTCGGAAACAGGACTGGGGCCATGGGTGAAGGTTGGCATTTGCTTGGGCTCCGGCACTGCAGCGCTGCTTCAGGGAGCACGTTTATACCCGAGCAGCTTCATGAGGACAACAACTTTCCACTCCTTATCCCGATAATTAGGCAGCGAAGCTTCCCTGCTTTCTTCGGCAGGGATTCGGTGGGGTGTCTCCAGAGACCTTCTCAAACTCGATAATATGTGCTGCTGGGTGCACTGGGGTGCCTTGTCCTCTCTGGGGGTTTCTTTGCCCTCTCCATCAGCTGGAGAAGCGGCAATCGGAACTGGGGGGAGCCGCCAGAACCACAGGAGAGGGGCGTGGAGCCCACTGAGATGGGGAGTGATGGACCTGGGGGGTCTGACAGCGAGAGGGAGTGGGTTTGGGAGCCCTTTGTGATCCCCGAATTGACTATATCTCTTTTCAGAGTAGTGCAACCCATTCATCATTGATTAGAGATAATACTATGAAAGAGTCCTTCCTGCTTGCCGTCGGTAATGAAAATGTTTGTTTGTGGCTTTGGTTGAGGTTTTTTTCTGTAGGCAAGAAGGAAAAAACAAACAAGGTGGAATTAGCGAGACGCAGCAGGTGGGTGCAGAGCGATAACCTCGGACGGGAGTTCTTGTAATAAAGAAATGGGTAAAGGAGCTCCTGGGCCCTGACAAGTCCAGGTGGGGACAGTCCTTAGGGGGATTTAACCAGGAAGTCCCTGTGGGCTTTATCCAAAGCCTATTGAACTGACTGACCACCTTCCGGGTGAATTGGGGTGCCTGGATCTGTGGGAACCTCAGCCTCCCTTGGCACCACTGCTTAAATTACCGGGACACCGGGAGGTGTTAATGACCATCAGTGAAGTTACCTGCTGCTATGCTGTTAGATTCCCATTTCTAGAAGGTTGGGGGATCTCTAAGAGTCTTTAAGGCAGGACAAAGCTTTGGAGCAACTTCTCCTTGGAAGAACATCCAATGATTTGGGAAGACCGGTTGCAAAGCAGCAGCTGCAGAGCCCAAGAGGCATCTAGGAATTAGAGTGTCTCTGGGGAGCAGGACAAGGAGGTGGCTTTCGCCACGGGCAAGGAGATAAGGTGGGAGATGGTCCTAGAAAGGACGGAGCCCCGCCACCAGCAGTGTGCACGGAGCAGAGGCCGCAGACATCTGACTACCAAAAGAACATGCCTCTCTTTCTATTTCCCTCTCTCTCGCTTTTTTCTTTCCCCTCCTCATCTCTGCCCTGAAGGCGGGTAGGTCAGCTATTTGTCTTTGAAGCTGCGTTTCTTGTTGGTTGAATTGACTGTTCTGAAAGAAGCATCGCATCTGACCAACACCAGGACTGCGGGTGGCAGAGACTTTTCTGTTCGTCTCTTTAGTCCTGTTCCATTTTCCTCTCCTCCCTTGTTTCATCAATTCCATTGTTTTCCCTCCGCCTTGTACCCTCCCCTCCAATTTATTTTCTCTTTCTTATTGATAGTCTTAAATCCATCCTCTGCCTCAGTAATCTCAACGGGAGGGGCGAAAAACCCCCGTGGCTACCGCAGCGTGGAAGGAAGCATCATGTTCTAGTTTCTTCCGTGCCCGGGCTCTGCATTTTTGCCTTGTAATACTGCACATCGATAAATAAATAAACGCGCCCAATTTTGTGAGCGCAGGTTGTGCTGAGGTGAGCGGCGGCATTCCGCAGCATCCTCAGTGTGAAGCTGCTCCGGGAGGAGAAGGGAGATGCCTTTAGTGCTCTTCAAACTGTTTCTTAATGGTTTTTAGCGCCCTTTTAAACTGTCCGAGGGCCGGGCCCGTGAGGGAAAGAGGGAAGGAAGATTTGGGCAGATCTCCCACAAGCTGGGTCAGATCTCCCACGCGTGGGACCTGGAGGGTGGATAAAGCAAGTTACATTCTGCACCTTCTTATTTTTGTGCCACATCCCGGAGTGCGTACGTGTGTAATTAACCCTCTCCAGTAGGTTTCCAGGCGATGCCCCGTTCCAGCGACGCTGCCTCCTCTCCCCACCCGGCTCCCGCCCCTCCTGCGCGCTGCTCCCGGTAGATGGAGCATCCTCATCGCTTTTCACCCGAAGCCCTCAGAAATGTTGGTCTTTCCCTCATAACTCCCGCTGTTAAAGCAAGAGGGCGGTTTCTGGGGGACAGGCTCCCCGCCGATGTGTCCCTGAGGGAGCGCAGCGCTGCGGCCCGTGAGCCCCTCCGGGAACCGCCCGTTCACCTGCTGCGTGAGCGGCCTCGGCCCCTTCGCCTGGCGGCTGAACCTGCTCCGGGCTTGCCCCACAGCCAGCCCTGGCTCCCACCACCTCCGGTAGGGCGTGGAGGTGACAAGGTGATACCTGCCGCCTTCTCTGCACCCTTTGAAGGGGCTGAGATGCCCCAGAGATGTGGGGAAGTCTCCCCAGTTTTCGGAGGGGGGGCGAGGGGTGCTCCTACTCCTTCCTCTGGCGGCCTTTCAGTGAGGCTCTGGACGGCTCCTCGCCCTTTCCCTTGTGGCGAGGGAAGGGGTCACCACGTTCTGGTCACTTCCCCAGTGCTGTTGGCCCCCAAACTGCAGAGGGGACCCCTGACCGCCCCGTCCTCCCCCTCCGCCGTGAGGGACTCGCTCCCCGCTTCTCGCGCCGCCATTTTGTGGCGCTGCTCCTCAGCCCCCGTGGTATCCCACAGGGTAGGGGTTTCCCCACACTTCTTTTGACAAAAAATAGTTTTAATTTTTAAATCCCAGGACTTAAGAGAATAATCTGCAGCAATAGCCTTTTGTTTGGTATGTGCCGGACCAAGTGAAATGTGGCAATCCAGTGGATGTTCAGGTCTCCTCACAGGGTTCCGAAAACGGTGTGGCAAAAAAGAGGCAGAGTAGCATATACATTAAAATGAAGTACATTTCAATTTTTTTTTTCAGTTGAGATGAAAAGTTAGTCTAGAAATGTGAACTCCACAAAATTTCATGAAGAATCAAATAACCAGTCTCTTTACAGTCGTAAACAGTAATGAATAGCACGGGAGAAACACGGTTTGCTCTCAAAAGAGCCTCGCCGGAATGAAAATTTCTTATATAAAGACAACAGGAATTAATACCGTTTCACAGCCTACAATTGGTAGAATTGAGCCTTGGATTTTAAGGAAGATATTTACCTCACAGATTATGGGTATTTTCCACCTTTTAATGAAGAACCCAGAAATGGCTGTTGTCGGATGGGTTTACTGAGAAGTGGCATTAATGTTAGTGCTGTAATGGCTACAGACTCCATCAGCACTTTGCTTGTGGGTTCTTCATCCAGTACAGTCTTGTAACATACGAAACTTTATTGCCGCAATTGAATTCCCTATAATTACATTAATGCGGTGCAAAAACGTGCGATGCAAAATAATATTTTTCACCTGGCAGCGTTCTGAATAGCCCCATTAGAAATAACAGATGCGGTTTGAAGCTGTTTTACCTAGTCTTGTGGGTTATATGTTTATCTTCTACAAAAGTATCAGCCATATATGAGAATTTCCTCTGAATTTGTCATCCTGAGTTGAATAATGGTTTGATGCTACTTTTCTGCAGTAGGTCCAAGGATCAGTCTTTGCTCCAGCCAAATCCTGGAAGACATCAGTTGTCCAAAAATTGTTTCAGGCTGGTAATAACTACTGTTTTTAAAACCCCCAAACACCGTTTGTATTACCAGTGCCATTGAATCTCTCAGTCCTTTCTACTAGTGACACCTGTATCCTCTTAATTCACAGCACAGAATAGCATTTGTCATTTGCAGTTAGTTACTTCATTTTAACAATAACAAGTTAATAATAGAATAAGAAGTATTTTACATATTCATGCTTTCAGAAGCACTATTTTCTTCAACACTTTTCATAAATTGTATTGTAAAATTGCAGTAAATAATTTTGAAAAATCACTGTAGTTCTGTTTCTCTCTTCTACGAAAATATTCAAAAGATAAAATTATTTGTAATTGTTTAAGCGGTGATATAATAGTCTCTATCTTAATAATACACAGCTATAGAGTCTGCCGTATTGATGAACTTTGTGTTCAGCTCATAAACCAATGAATAGAATTTCCTTGCCCCAATATCTTGCAGTTTTTATGGGAAGTGTCAGGAAAACAATTAGCAAACATTGTTAAACTGTTTCTAGAGAACAGATTTTTAATACATGCTCCAAACTATTTTTTTTTAATCCAAAGGAATTACTTCAGATTTTCTTTTGCATCGTGTAAAAGCAAAAATATTCTGCATTGACCTGTGGCTTGAGTATTCCTTAGTATTTTTCTTAGTATTTTCAGAAGATTTTTTTTATTTTTTATCTCATGTGTTTCCAGGCACTAGGAACTAGGATTTCAATCTTCTAAATACATTTGGTAAAACTATTATCTGTTTCTCGGAGTTTTTATCGCAGCCTGTGCTAATCTGGTCACTTGGATTAGGTGTTCTCATCCTCCCTTAACTATTAGACAAATTCATTTCTGTCAAACATTCAGCATTTTAAACGCTCCCCCCCGTCCCCTCCCTCTTCCACAGTCTCAGCGCTGCAGGATGTAGCCTTAATGCCACTTTAGTTAAATTCTGCAGTTGTTTTCTGTTCTACTTTATCCTGGATTAGGATCTCATCCTCATCACCGGTTTGTCGTGGCTTTGCTTCTTTCACTGTGCTGTGGAGACAGTTAAGTATCAGATAACTTGGCTAATGTTAATGTACCTGAGCTAACGAGCTGCATCCAGTGCGTTCTGATAAACCGTGTTTGCATCCTGTTTAGAAAACTCATTATTCCCCATCTGTTTAAAAACCCCATCACTGAATTTCTGCACCCAGCAGCACTATGCAAACAGAACAGTGAATTTGTAATCAATCTACTTTCTGTTGTATGCGAGTTCTGTCTTTAATCGCACTGAACATATTTACACCTTCTGATTCAAATATACTTTGCGATTACACGGGAGGAGTGTGCAGGAGGGTTAAGGAGCTTTTCCATCACCAGCGCTGCAGTCCATAGGCTTAGTAACCAGCTGGACTACAGGCTACACATTTTGCACACAAACATCTTTTCCTGCATCCTTCATGCCTCTAAGAACATTAAGCCTCTCAAACGTAGAACTGCTCCAGGAGCAGCGCTTCACCTAAATTATAAACCTCCTTTTTTCCAAGCTGTGGTTTAGACTTTTATTGAGTCCCTTACTACTATCAGTGAGAAACTTGGTTCCACTAATACGGTTTAGGCAGTGATTCAAATGCAGTTAAAACTATTTTTTTCTCTCTTTTATGTTAAAATGTGTGGTATTGTCTTGCAATTTTGACTTGTTTATTGCATCAATAAGGCTTTTGACTGTGTAAATCCCTGAACTGCATTTTCCTTTTGTAGTTTACACAATGAGTGACGAACTTTTGACCAACTTGGGCAAACTTCTGGTCGAGCTTGGTAGGTCGTTATATCATATATTTTTAATTAATAATTACTAATGCAGTGCATGTAATGATGTTTTCTGCTTTAAACAGTTGTATTAACTTCAAGTAAATGTATAATATTAAGATTTTGATCTTTGCCTACATAACGTTTTGCTAGCTTGGAGGTTATGGAGAGGGGTAGTAACAGCTATTTAATAGTAAAATTGCTATTTAGATATTTTGTTAAAATAATTGTTAACCAGAGTTTGTGCAATTAATGCTGCACAGCATATGTTTGTTTCACAGCTCAACTCATATATATGTCTATATATGTCTATATATGTATTTATATATATGTGTGTATATATATATAAATATATATATATATATATGGGTTAATTTTCTTCTTAAGCTTTCCAGGTAGAACAACGTTCTTTTGCCAAGGAACGTGTGAATCAACAGATAAATTGTGAGTAGTGATAAATTATCATTTTATTGCATTCTGAACACTGATTTTGTTTCACTGGTCTTGGGACATGTTCTGTGTCTCGGGGACGGAAGCAAGCTGAACAATGAGAGCTGTCCCGTGTCCTGCTCTCACCCTGCCTCATCTTTTGCCATCAATACTTGCTCATTCTCCCCAGCAGACTTTGCTTTTGCTCACGACTTTTAGCCGACGCCGTTCAGCTGCCTCACGGGCAGCCAGTTTCATGCTGCGCCATTTCCTGCTCCGACTCTGCAGCTCCTCACAGTCACTGGCAGCTCTTTGATTCAGCTGTGCTTGCTCAATGCATCTGCCACTTGCCTCCCTTTCTTTCTGCATGTTTTTTGTTCTTTCCAGATTTGGACCTCTGCCTCACTGCCTCTTCTCTCTTTCTGTTTGCTTCAAATAATGAAAGTTCTCTCAGTTGCTGCTACCTACTCAAGCCTGGTAGTTCCTTTTTTTTTTTTTTTGCAATTAAGCAGCTGGTTATTTCATTTGAAATTCAAAACAGTAAACCCAAAGGGAAAAATCTTGCTCCACATCAAATTTCCACACACCCCCAGGACTTACACACTGGCTTTTTTTAACCGTGCTACTATGTACTAACCTATAGGAATGTCTGGAGAATAGTTTCTCTACCACATCTGTCCTCACCACTGGTACTTCATAGGTAGATATTGAAGCTCATAACCTCCAAGAAAAAGAATAAGAGAGAATTCTGGTCTAATGGGTGTTCTTTTTGATTATAACATTTCTAATGATCTTCGCTGATATGCCCGAGCAAGTACTTATTCATTAAGAAGATTGTCATTATGAAATTGAAACATCTTAAACATAAAAACCCCTGTAACACTAAATCTGGCACATCTAGAGGTCTGGTTTAACTCTTCAGTCACATAATTGAACCATAGACTTGAGGTTTTTCTTAACATTTATGCAGGCTTAGGGTAAATGGTCCTGTTCTTAGGGAAAATCCAAAGGCTATGTAGTAACATGGCATAGCTGCTTGTGTTCAGTTCAGAGATGCCTAAATATCTGTAAACTCACAGCCAACACTCAGGCTTTTAACAGTTTGGGTTAAATCTTTCAAAAACTTACCAAAAAATAGTGACACTGCTGTAATTTTGTCCCTGTGTGAGTATTACTTGGCAGAGGAACAGCTGTAGCATTCAGCCTCGGACTGTTGGTGTGAGATTCATCAGGCTATTTGGCTACAGTCCCTTTCTTTCCAGTGGAGGGAAAAGGCACTTTTAGGGTGTGATTTATCTTATCCTGAAGAAAGATTTTAAAGTAGGTTAGGTAAAGTAAGCTTTAAAAATGTCAGCTTGTCTCTGCTGAATGTAGCTGCAGCCATGGGTGTCTAGTTCTGAAGTAGGTGCCTGCACTGAAAAGTTGGGTGAGATGGATCTCACCCACCAGATCCTTGTGAAAGCAAAGGGTGAGTTGAACAAATCACAGAGGTGCTCATCTCTAGAAAATTCTAAATGAAATGTTAGGTGCATATTTTAATATACTTATATCTTGGTAAATCTCAAAAAGTCATCTAAGGGATACTGCCACATACACGTGTGTGATTGAATTCCATCTAGGGTCACCTACTCTGGCATTTAGTGCTTCAGGGTGGCAGTGATAGCAAGGGATGATTTGTGGAAGCTTGTATGAAAAAAAAAAAGAAATAAGAAACACAGAGAAAAATGAAGTGCACCAAGCTGTGCTCATTCCATTGCAAGGAGAGCAGGCACGATGGCTCTCACAGCTTTTACTTGTGAAAGAGAACTGGGCATGTTCAACAACATGGATTCTCTCCTAACCACTCACTCAGAAAGTGTTATCAGCTGTCTGCTCTCAGAAAAGGCAGAATTAAGAGTTTGCCTTCAGCATCTCCACAAATATCAAAGTCCTTGAGAATTTGTCATTAGAAAGCTTTTTTTATTAATTAACCTGTGTCCTGTATTAATGTATCATGCACCTTGAGTAAAATTCCTTTTTATTTTATTTTATCTGTTTCTGTTTTCTGCTAATTACTTATATGCCTTTAGTGATGTTTTTATTTTTCCTTTCTTGTAGTCAGCTTTCCCATTCAAAACGTTTGGGTTTCTGGACTTCTGTAAGAGAAAACAAATGTTTGGAAGAGTGTCCTGGTTCCAGCCAGGACAGGGTTAATTTTTGCCATAGTCAGAAGGGGCATGGCCAGGACTCCAGGTTATTTTATACCTTTCTTTAGGGAGAAGGAGGTGGTTTGAAATGTTTCAGAGGGAACACTAAACTGGGGAATACCATTCCTAAAACACAACAAAGAGACATTTATCTTTAGCAACTTTTGTATTTCAATCGGTCTCCTCAGTTGGAAACATTCAGGAGGGCAAAGTGCCTTTACCTTGGTTTCCCTGTGTGCTTCTTACAGTGTCTGCAGATACTGAGGGCTGCAACAGCTCAGCTCTAACTGTTCAGAGTGCTTTGCTTTCTGCCACTAGTTGTTACTTCACTTTTCTACAGAGTGGGATTCAGAAGCAGCACAAATAATTACTTTTTCTCCCAAAGTCAATCTCATGATATTAGATGATAACAAAGGTACTCACCACGCAGCTGAAACTCCCGAAGTTTTGACTCACTTTGTTGTTGCTTTGCTTAATTGTAGACTGTCCACTCACCTGGGGCTATGGAGATAAAGTATTTTGGAAGACATTTTTAGTAATTCTGAGTGTAGACTTTTTATTTCATGGATCTGTTGAATGTTTACTTTTTTATTTTTTTAATTTTAGCATATACTGCAGAATTGGCAGAAAAAAAGGATAAAATTGCTAAGTTGGAGGAAAATATAAAGAATGGCAATGAGGAAGTAGCTGATTTGAAAAAGCAACATGAGAGCAGTAAGAAGAACTGTAATGTGTAAGTACAGTTTAGGCTGGACTCTGAGCTATGCCTGGCAATAAGGAAGTCAGTGGGGAAGTAATGGAAAAATATGTGTGTGTGTGTGTGTGTTCTGACAGGAGTGGTGTAAAAGAAAACTTTAGGATTCCCCTATTTTTTTTCAAACTGTAAATCTTAAGTAAAAAAAATTGCAGTATTACCCGTCCCCTGAGAAAGTTAATCAAAGAAAATCAGACTACATTTAACTTTAGATTAGTTTTTTTATTAGAATCAGCAGTTTTCAGAGATCATAGGTACTGTTTTTGCAGCCTGCTGAAGTATTTATGTAGTAAGGTAATAGAAACATAATTTTTCTATATTTGGACGCATCTGAGCTCTGTCAAATTTGAACAACACTAAGAATACTCTTAAAAAAAAAAGTCTTCCTGACACATGTTTGTGTGCTTCTATTAGCAGATTTTAGTATCATTTTTGCTCCATGCTGCAGAATTGTTCTCCCAGGCACACTCTTTTGGAGAATGCAATGGGCTGCTCTTCACACTTTTCTTTACATAAATTTTTGTGTCAGACTATCAGTGCAAGTTTTGGATGCAGATCACTTTTGGATCTTAGTAATTAGAAGCTTTTCAAGAAGCAATTTGTCTGCAAGGAGTTTATTCTTCCTGACACATAATGTTTTGTTTTCAGAAATGGAAATCTCAGGTGTTTGTAGGGGTAGCTAAAAAGGCAAATCTGTATTTGACTCTACAGAGGGTTTGGCCCAGGTGATAAAATCCACCCCAGTGTTCATCTCTCCACAATCTTTCTAGTTCCTCAGCAGCTGAAGTGATGATTTCTTGGCAAATTCTCTTTCGTTTTCTTGCAATTCTATATCTAAAGGTAAGTATTCAATAAAAATATAACATACATTTGAATTTTTTTTTTTTTTTTGGATGTGAATGGAGAGTGTGGGTGTTTCTAACACAAAGAGGGAAGTAAAGATGGCATTAGGGTCCTTTCTGGTTTTATTTTGAACCCTCAGAAAACAGAAGAAAGAATGAAATCATTAGTGAATGAAGTGGTTGTAGTGGCTGGCTGTTTGAATGGATAACCACACCATACTTGTTTGTAGCTTTATCATAAAAAGGGTTAGGAAAAAATTTGACCTTGACAAGAAAATTCCATTTTTCCATCACATTCTTGCCCCCAATGGAGGATAAAATGAACACTTATGTAAGTTTATGAAACTACTCACACCACTTCCTTTGATATCTTTTTTGCAAATCACAAACTGTTAAATGATGCAAATGAAATAAAAAAAAAATGGATTAAAAAATTACGGGTAGAACTAAGGATCTGATCTAAATTTTAATCGTTGAATTCACTGGGTCTTGGCTCAAGTCCTACAAAGAATAATTAATGGCATTAGTGTAAAGAGACTGAAAATGAGAAGTGACTCATTAATGAATACATGTATTCATAGAAGGACAATGCTTGCAGAAGAGTAGAGACTTTGTGTCTTAAATTATTGGAAATGTCATTTAACGACACACTGAAAACTGCAATAAACAAGCCCTAGTTGTAAGATCAGACAATTAGAGCACTTACACAGTAGAATCATCCTAAACTTCCAAAATTTATTCTAGTTGACACTCCATCTATACTGGACATGATTCTAATGTTGGTTTTGCAAATTCAAATATTGTTTTGGAGTCACAATCACCCTCTCAGCTGACTAATTGCCAGCGATGCTCAATAGAGCTCTCAAAGAAACTGTTTTGTCTGGGTTACTAGACATGATCATGAGTGTATTGAAGCAGATTTGAAGACTTTGAACAAAATAAAGGATTCTTATATTCAGCAAGTCTATAGAAAATATGATATATGAGACAGATATATTGGAATAATACCGTGTTTTCTTAAAGAAATCCATATTGGTCTATGTAACAAAGAACTGGCACAAAATGAGCCAAATGAAACATATGTTTTTAGACAAGTGATGACATTTTGCTAATATTTAGTTTCTTGAATGATTCAAACTGTTGATCCCAGAGCAGTAAGAAGTAGTGAAATACTGCTGGTGGAACCTATTCCAATTTTATTGTTTCTCTTACAATTTTTAAATTTGGGTGCAAGGATGGTGAGATTTCATGGAAAAATAAAAAAACGTAATAAGAAAAAAAGCCAGATGAACTCAGAATGCTGTTAGTTTGGAAAAGAAATCATTGTCTTGTCCCTCTAGCCAAACTACCAAATGACAGGATAATTTTATTGCTTGCAGATTAGTGTGGACAAAGATTTTTCTTTATACCCTGGCTGATGAAAGGAAGGACACATAAATGTGATGTGATCCCTGAAACAGTGATGCATTTAGCAATCTGATAGATGAGCTACTTGAATCCTGCACACCTTGTTGTGCTCACAAACCAGTGTCCTTGTACTATGTGCTTTTTCTATGTCTACAGAGTAGATGTGAACACATGTAAACATGGTTTGTACTCTGATTAATAAAAGCTTTTTGACTTTTATATCTCTTGGATACTTTTTCCTCCAAAGAAAGGCATGGGGGCTTCTGAGTAGAAGAAGATCACAGTGTTGGTGTGCCAGCACATTTTTATATAAGTATGTTGGTTTCTGCTTTTTTAAAAATCTGACCCTTTAGAAATTCAGCTTTCTGTTGCATTTGCAGTAGATATGGCGAAGTAACATTTTTGTAATTACATTTTCAATCACCAGTGGTGTCAAGCACTTTGTGCTGACAGTGCTAAATTTCCTGAAGGAGGCTCTCATTCCTCAATGAGCTGTTTTGTTGACAAACTTTACTGCTGTTATAAATGTTGGTTGTGTTTTGTGTTGTCTCATCACCTGGAATTCAAGAATATTTGACTTCAGTTCAGCAAATTAATTGCCAGGTCTTTGCTCTTTACTTATTTCCTTGATGGAGATTGCAGTAAGTCAGCTGTTACTGAAGCCTCTGTTTTATTCTACCTTTGGAGAGATTGTTCAAATGGACGTTCCTACTTTGTGTGATGGGATGTCACAAACCCTCCAGCTTTGAACCATGGGGCACATTCGTATCCCAAAATGCCCTTTACTTACCCTACTCATGGCTATGCAGTGCAAAGTGAGCTGTATGTCCTCAGCTGCTCTCTGAATTATTTGCTTTTTTCAATTGCAGCCCTGTTCTGTATTGCCATTTCTCCCCTCCTCTTTGTTCATGTATCTCTGCTGCTCCAGATTCACTTAGTCTCGTCAGTCCTAATGGATTTTTCCTTCTATTTCTTCAACATTTAGCTTTGATGCTATATTTATGTATGTGTTCCTAAAACTGGGGGTTCTGTGTGCATCTGCTAGGACAGACAGCTGCTCTCAAACTTCACTGTAGGTGTTAGTGCTGCCTAGGACAGCTTATATTCTGGACTAAGGCTGAATATATAGATCCCTTTAAGTCCTGGCTAGAGAGAGGGTATGCTAATTTTTTCTAGGAGGGAGCATGTAATTTCTTTTCCTTGGCAGTAGGACCTCTGTCCCACTCCAGCCCAGCCTGTTCACATGCTCCTTACACTATTTTTTTTTTTTTCAGGCAGGATTCTTTCTTTTCAAAAGCCTTTTTATATACCTCTCCTAAAGTTCACATCTGAATTTCACTCGAATCAGAAAGTCTATCTGTCTCTCTTTCTAATATTCCCAACATCCAAGGAAGAGGTATCTCTAGTACCTGGGTGTTGAAAAAGTACTGTTAGTTTAGTAGTGGTAAGTATTCCACAAAGCTGCTGTGCTTTCAGTGCCTTCCACAGCATCCTGCTCTAGGAAAATCACTTTGGTGTTTTCTGAGCAGCACTTGCTTAGCAAATGGAGGAAATTCTGTTTGTGGCTGCTGCTTGCATTTAGGTATGGGATGGGTGTTGCTGATACTGATGAGAATGAAGAATGAATTTCTGGGCATCTCCAACAAGAAGATTGTACATATCTAAAGGATTTACTCATGGTGCTCTGCTGAGTACCTAATAAGTGAATTTAGATGCCTCATTGCTTAGCACTAGACTCCAAAAAACTGTGTGAAGCCCATTCCATTAATTCCTTAAAAACTGCTTTGTAATCTTTCTTAATTATTTTTATATATCTATTTTCATGAATTTGCAGTTTTACAATCTTAACAAAATAAATGTATGCACGTGAAAGACTTCTGTACTAAACCCATTTATGTTTGACTTTCAAAACATTAATGAATTATTTGTTCTAGTAAGCTACTGAAGTAGCTTGACATCTTATTTTTTGAATGGCTTTTTATTAGAAAAGACCCCTAATATGCTTTCTATTTTTTTTTTTAACTTTCTCCACAGTTGGAAGCCCACCTATAAAATTCTTAGCAAACATGAAGAATATGTGAAAAATGAACTTGAAGCTTTAGAGGAAGCTACAGAAAATGAGAGGTATCTGTGGTCATGTGAGATGAGGTTTCTTATTAACCTGACTAAACCCAGCTGTCTGCATCACAACTTCTTGTAAACTTTACAGGATGAGTGACTGAATAACTAAAAGGATTTTTTGGCTTACATTATTATGAGGTCATATCTTATTTTGTAGTTACCAATGGAATAGGATACAATATGGATTCTTCAGTTGCTTCCCAAATGCCCATTACAATTTTTCAGAACATTGTTCAATTGCCTACTGTTTGAAGAAAAGCTCAAGAAGTAAAGACAATTTTTTTCAGCTAACAATTAGAAGCATTCAGACAGTTTCATGCTTTTCTTTATTTTGGAATATGAACTGTATATGATTATTAGAATGTACAAACCAAGTTTTTGTGTACTGCTGTATATTTTTCAAAATAAACACAAAGCATGCAAATGCAGTTCTGTTCAGTAAGTGTCATCTCACTTACTGAAACGTGTTTCATCTTCATTAATTATACTCTGCAATCAAAAGAAATTAGGAATTGTGCAATGTAGCTGCTACATTCAGTGAAATCAAGAGCAGTCCCTGAAGATTTTCACTGAAAGGTTCCAAATGTGCTGTGCCAAAGTAACCCTCCAAAGTTTTGTTTAAAAGAGTAAAACAGAGTCTCATTTTAGAGAGGCTGCTCACCTTCACTGATCTGCACGTGAGGGGGAGGAGGCTCCTTAGCCCTGCAGTGCAAAAGTCACAGCAGACCCCTCTAGATATCTAAATACCAGTTTAGAGTCCCAAATTTAGGTGATTTAAAATGTTGGCTTCGGGTCTTTTGTAACTGTTCTTTGTGCCAGTTGTCCAAGACAGCAGAAATAGCGTGCCTGATAGCCTTTAATTAACTCAGTTAGTAGCTTATCTGTCTTCTTCCTGTTCAGAGCTCTAAATTTGGTGAAAAATAAGGTTAAATTGGCTTTCTATGAGTATATGATTAAGCCATTTTGGCTTTCACTAATTTGAGCTGACAAGCCAAAGAAGCATTACTTTTAAATTGCTTCTTTAGATAACTAGTTTCAATTCCAACATGAAAGTGTTTGATCTGTTTTCCTAAGCTTAATTATAAGACATCATGACTATAAATCATGAAATGAATTTAACTCATATATTTTTCAAAACTTTTCCTCAAATACAATCCCTCTGCACTGAAGCATTTGATGATGTGCTCAAGTCAGCTAAATGTGCATTCAGCAAATTCTAAATATTTAAATTAGGAAGAAAAATCAGTATATTTCGAACTTGATGAGCTGAATGTGCTTTTCAGCCTGGGAGTTGTGGGCACTCAGGACATGCTTCTTTAGATGGAAAGATGTTTTTAAAAGATGGGCAGATCAGTTTGTGTTTAATTAGGCACTTATGGAGGTTTTACAAACGTTCCACGTTTTTTCATTGTTGTTGGTTTCAAGAACATAGAAGAATGCTCATATGAACTGGAAGTTTGTCCTGAAAGAAGTGATCTGAAGAAGGAAAGAGAAATAAATTGCCACCTACATAATGTTTAGGGGGTTTGTGAGCACTGCCCCTTTCCCATTGCAATTAGAACAAAACTTTTTCTAATGACTTTAATGTGAATTCTAAATACTTCTGTGTTATCTGCACAAACTGTAAGATGTAAATTATTTAGGAAAAATATTAAAAGCAGTGGCAATTTCTTAAGACTACTACACTATATATGGCCCTAAATATTAATATGAGAAAAATAGATTTTGGGAAAAGAATATAAAGTTTTAGGATTATATTCAGAAGCTTGAAATGTTATCTGCTACAACAAATTATTTTACTTATTTATATTGTTTAAATTTATTTGTAATGCATTCTAAATTGTATATTTGCAAATTTTTTTTCCTCAGCTAGTTTTGTAGCATTTATTTAATTAAATAGAATTGAATCTTTTTCATCTTTCATACCTGGGAAATTTTGTACAGTATACAGAAATATCAAGTAAATCAAGAAACTTAGATTCCTGAGACCACTTGTGTAGAAAAACAGATAGATCAGTGTAATTTTCTCTGTGAATTTTGGGAAGTGTCAATTCCTAGGTTTCACAGTGTTGACCTACCACTTCTTCCCCCTAAAGTGTATTGAACTTCAATCAGTTTAACAGGAACTGGTACCTGGAGTGTAGTTTGACTTGAAAATTAAAATCTTCCTGTTTTTTGTCCTGTGACTTTTGTTTTCCTTTCGTAAGGGCAGAATTTTCTAGCACTGAGTTCGGACACAAGTTTTTCTCTCTTCCATTGTCTGGGGTTGCCAGTGGGCAGCCAGGACTGACAAATGCAGCCTTTCAGTCCTGCTGCAATTAAGTGATTAGTAAAAGTTTGAGGTAAAATGTGTTCCTTAGAGAGAAATACTGTCTGCTTTGCAAGCAGAGAGAGCTGTTCCTTAATGCAGCCTTTATTCGTGGGGCAGGTAAAGAGATGGCTCTCTGGCTTTACCTGCTGTTATGAACCATAATTTTTTCCATAAAGGAATTTCTTGCTAATCTATGGGTGTACTAATAACTTAATATTTTAAAATTTGTCCCTCTGTATTGCTCACCTAACCTTTTCCTACAGGATGACATTTCCTTTACCTTCTGTGTTTTTATATTAACCTATTGTAATATCAAGGAACTCTGTGTATTATTTCTTTCCCAATTAAATGACTGTTTAGTGTTAACAGTATATGCTGGATATCTGTAGCTGTGATACCTCTTTATTAACATACCTCATTTATTAACCTCTTTATTAACTTCATATTCTTTTCCCAAAATCTTTTTCTCACAGAGCAGTATTTATGACCATCCATAATATAGTGGTCTTAAGAAATTGTCACTACTTCAAACATTTTTCCTGAGTAATTTACACCCAGCTGTGATACCTCTTTATTAACACCTGCCATCTGCAGAAACACTCACCACCCCACTCTTATTATGTATTTTGCACATGCCTAAATTTTTCTGCTTTATGTGATGAGTTGCACCCTATTACTTCTGGTATTTGTTAGTTTTTACGGTATAATTTTTTAAAAAGCTGATTGAGAGTTTTAAGAATGTCATGAACATTAATTGATGTTACCTACCTTAGTAACTCATAGCTGTGTGCTCACATGATGCCAGTGAAATTATATTAGTGTAACATTAATTTACAGGGCAGCCCTGTAAGAAGCTGAGCATTCTGGCTCTTTGCCATTTAAACATTTAAGTGTTTGCTTAACCTTAAGTGTGAACAGTCCTATTGTTTTAGTGTGAGTCATATGTGTGCTTAAGGCTTCCCTGAGTCAGACAGAGATTACTCAGCATCTCCTTGGAGGCAGCTCTTAGTCCAGTGGTGCATCAGGCTGCTCTAAATATGGGATGTTTGGCCAAATTCTCTTTAACTGTAAGTTTGATACAGTTCCACTGAAACTGAGGGAGTTGTGCCAATAAACAGCAGCAGAGGTTTTGTCCTGAAGTGAGTTTCATGATAATTACATGGCAAAAAATATGTTTGTCATCTACCAGGCTGACTTTGAAAGTGCCATGGTCTGCATTCCTTTCAGAACAGTGAGGTTTGACTGGTTTTTACATCACAACTGTATTCTTTTTTACATACAACATAGTATTCCTTGAAAATAGCTAGAAAATAAAAAATAAAACCAAAGAGTGGCATATTAAATATAATCCAACTTTTTTTTTTTTTCCCTAGGACATCAGAGCTGATGCCATAAACTAAAAGTTTTTTTCCTTATGAACAATGACTTTGTGTGAAAAAAAAATTAAATTACGTGCATATTTTTATAGGAAAATGTATGAGGATTGCATAACCCAGTATAAGGAGGTTTTGGAGGAACACCGCAAAAAATATGCAGAGACTGCTCTTGCCCAGAGGAATTACAGAAAAAAGGAGGAAGTTGAAGAAATCCAAAAGAGAGTTTTGAAACACTGGAAAAAATACAAATGGAAGGAAGACGCTTGCTTGGATCTGGGTACTGCTCTTATCAATGCTTTTACACTGAAGCCTGTTGGCAGTGCACTGCACATTAAAGGTGCCATACAGAAATCCTCTCATTTTCCACAGTTTCCTTTAAGCTAATAAAATATATTCTTTGTGTTACACTATTTTTAGGAAAAAAATCTGTAGCGATGAAAAATTTGGAGTATATATGGTAATATTCCTTTCTCCAAACCCCAAATGTAATGGGGAGAGGTTTGTCATTGGGGTTCTTGGGGTAAAAATGTTCTAAGAATCCTTTAGTTCGAGGCTCTCAGAATTTTAAATTTAATTTTAGTATCTTTTTAGGGCAAGTTAATGGCATTACTGTCACACTGCAATTTCGGTTATCTATACTAAGTAAAGTGCTCCTGATCTATTAATTTATCTTATATTTGTTAAGAAAATTAGGTTTGTTAATTAATGTTCAGAAATTAAATTTTATTTCTGCAGAGGCTGTTCCTTTTAAATCTGTAAATGATTGGGCTGTACACATGTATCCTTTATTTGCAATGTTTACACAGTTAGCAGGGAAAAAAGTTAAAATTTACCTTTCACAACTTTCTATTAGAAAAGATTAATTATTTATATGTTTATCTTTAGAGTGGCAGCATCAGCATTTCTCTGTGAGAAAATTGGAGGTCAAATAATACACTTCAGTTTAAATTTATGGGAGCATTTTCCAGAGAGAGAATAAAAAATTTAATTTAATAACATATCCATGAAAATTCTTTGTTTAGGAGAAGGTTAATTGAAGTTAGATTTGAAGATTTGGCAAAGAAATGTAGATTTGTCAGAGCTTTCTGCACCTCTGGCATTTGCACTTATGGCACAGAGGGGTCAGAGATCTGGTGGTATCCCTTGCCAGAAAAAAAAAAAAAGCCTGTTGTTCACATATATATTCCATAACATGAAAGTGCATCTTCGAAGCAAAAAACACAGGAAATGTTACATCTTGCCACTGTTGCTGCACAAGAACTCGTCAAACTGAAAAAAGAAGCAGGAGAATTAGAAATGAAGATTGGTTCTTTAGAAAAGGTAACTGTATTTTAATTTGATTTTCTAGAAATCCACGTTATGCAGTTATACATGCTGCCGTTATATTTTCTGACACACACAAAAAAAGTAGTGTATTTTCAGGCACACAGGCCAAGAGGATGATTCCAGTCTTATGTTTCTATAGCATCACGTATGTTTTCTTAGAGAAGAGGGGTCCATGAATGTAAAGGCTCTCAAAGCTTGCTTTCTGTTGACCTCAGCCTATGCCAGAGTTCCTGTCAAGTCACTGTGTCACGAGGACTTTTTGGTGTCATCTCAAGAAAAGACACTTGAAAACAGTGCAGGGACACTCCTTAGTGAGCCCCAGGGCTTGAGTGTACAGCTTTCACAGGCCCTACTGGTTTTTAAGGGTTTGTGTTTGACTAAATATGCTTTACAACAAGAATAATGCAAATTCCCGCTTTCCTTCTTTTTTTTTCTTTTCTTCTTTCCCCCCCCCCCCCAAATAAATGTGTGGGTATATAACCCTCAGAGGTAAAACTGGCTGATTTTAGACAGGGGGATCAATACAGTTCCACTGACTGGAAGAAGCACTGATTTCAAAGGGATGATCTTCAATAAATAAAAGGGATTTTATCAGTGCAGACCTTAAAAGGTCTGTTTTAAGCCTGAGTAGCCCAGTAGGCCAATCTTGTAAAGGTTTAGTAATTTTTTATAGCATTTCATCTGGGTGCTTTTACCTCTGGACCAGCTGATCAAGGACTCCATTTACTGCCTTGTGCTGCTAGAAGCATGTTGTGCACAGGTGGTGTCTTCTGGTTTTCTATTTAATATTTAGTGATCCTGTTTGACACACAGAGTCATAGACTAAAGTTCCTGAGGTGGTGTGTGCTGTATAAACACACAGTAGAGAAGGGATGAGGTGAATTTGCTTATAGCTTTGTAAGGGAGCTCCAGGTTCTGAACAGATGTGCAGTGCCCATGTTCCAAAACTGTAAGAACTGGAGCAAACGTGGGAGTTCCTCTCTTTAACCTTGTTCTATTTATTTCTTCAGAATGTCTTGGCTGCAAAAACTCTACTACTGTGCAGTGATTTGTCAGGTTTAGAAAACTTTTGTAGCACACAGCTGTAATATTTAAAATTTTGTCAATTTTTTATGCTATTTTTTCTTCATCTTTTAAGAGACGTGAAGCGGCTACAGAAGATCAAGATAACTCTGAAATGACTGAAGGAAAAAATCAAAAAAGTCTCGAGAAACCAGAGGAGTTTAAAGAAAGGTACACTTCAAAGTTATTTTTTTCCTTGCTTTTATTCAGAGTAGTATCTCAGCATTGCACAGAGAGTACTACAAAACACAGATTGTTGCTAAAAATGGAGTGGCAAGCTCCTCTAACCCTGATAATGTGATTTAATTATGCAATTTTAAAAGTTTTATATTTCTGGGGATTAAGATGGTGGCAAATTTTGATTTTTGGAAGCTCAATGTATCCAAAAATATACTATTCTAAAGTATTTTGTAGAAACCTTTGCTCCTCAGCTACTCTGAGAAATCTGTATGAGTAGTGTTACAAGTTCTGAATGCAACTACAGTGACTGTGCAGTCAGAGATAAAATACATCAACTCTATTAAATGCATATTTGGGGAAAAGAGTCAGGGTTCCACAAGTCAGTTGTCTTCACCTCTGAACTACTTCAGAAATTTAACTCTTAATTTAGTTCTCAAAAACAAGCATGAGTGAAAGTTTCATAGACAGGATTAATGGCTTAGTAAATTAGGCAGCGATCATTTACAGCTGGGACTCACTTTAATTTGAGCTCAATTACAATGGCTGAAAATCACCATCAGGACTATCTTGCACTTATCTGGAATCCTTGTGAATGTTGAAACACCTCCCATTGAGCTGACACTTTTAGATCAAAATCCACTTTAAAGCAAAAATACATCCTAAAGATTTTGTCTGAGTGATTTTATGTCATGGTGCACTTGAAAAAGAATATTTTTGAGGCTTTAAACAGGGATTTAGTGGAATATATCTGTAGAAATATGTCATCCCTAAGATCCTTTCCACAGGGATTTTTTAATTCTTTAATATCTCCTTACCTATGAATCATACAGATTTTTTTTTTTAAATCCTTTACACCCATTCTACCTCCTTATGTAAGCTTTTATAATAGGCAAGAAAGGAAACATGGGGAAACAAGAAATCCCATTAGTTTTAAGACAAAGTGAAATAAAAGATGGGAGGCATTCCCTTTGAATTTTCAAAGAAACTCATGTGTGTTCAGTCTGCAGAGCAAAAAAAAGCCAATTAGGGACTTATTATAAGAGGTAGAGGTCTGTGCTCTGGGTATGGAGGTGTAAGAATCCCTCAGACAGGCTCCTCGTGGAAAGGAATCCATAGGGTGCACTGCCAGACCTGCCATTGCTACATTTGTCTCCCTGTCATGGAGCCTTCAGGTGCTTGTACCTCCACCTGTAGCTGTGTCTGCACTGCACACCAGCAGATCTTTTTGGAGCTCTTACTGCAGCAGTAATTCCATGGGCTGCATCATGGATAGAAGGTGGTGTAAGCCTTTTACATGATGCCTTAAGCCCCTAATGGTTTTTTATTTTTTAGTATTTGTAAGACTTGTAAGTTTTATAAGTAGGTTTTAAAGTAGAAACCCTCCCTTCTTTGTCCCTTGTCCCTTTCCCTTTCCCTGTAGCACCCTTGTTTACACATTCCTTAACCCTCTTCCCCCATTCTATGCTCCCTATATCAGCCCTACTCCTGAATCCAATAGAAATGTTTAGTCTTTTGTCAAGGCAAGGCCTAGACAGTTGACAGAACAGCATATCTGGGCCTAAACCACAGAATGAAGTCAAGAATTAGGTAACTATGTACCCTTTGTGCTCTGATGATGGTGAAGATGATGAAGTAGGGGGTCCCGAAATGCACCCCAGACCCATTTTCAGGGGGTGGACCCCGGGGCAGTCCAGAGCAAAGGCCACGGGGTGGATACATCTGGGATTGGATGGATGATGTTATAAAATGTAACCTCTTGGGCACAGGGACACGTCTTGTAACATCTTCTGCCTTGGCAAATAAACCCTTTCTTATCTCACCCCTAATTAACTGCTCCGGAGATTTTTTCAGCACCTAAATCCCACGGCAACATACACTACCCTAACTCACAGTGCCTTTTAACCTCCATGTATGCACTTCTCTGACATAGCAAGTGTTATCAGACCAGAACCTGATTATTACTCAGTAAGTTTTTTCCTAGAGTAAATTTTAAAGGGTTTTGAAGTTTTTTTATGTCAAAGATATCCACAACATAGAGGCCTGTAGAAAATGGTATAAAATGGTTTTTAAAAACCCCTATTTGACATAAATTTATTAAAAGAAGTCTTCACTAGAAAGCACTGAAGTAACTGTTTAAATAACTACTGATGTTAAAAATGAGTGTACTATGAAGCTGTGAGCATAAGCACCGTGAGGAAAAAAAACCCAAATAGAAAATATATGGAGAAAATGAGATGTGAAATAAAACTTTTGCAGACTCAAGGCAATGTACAAAAATACAACAGCAGAATGTGGGTGCCAAAGGCTGTAGTTTCTTGTGAGCTGTCCTGCAGTCACTACAAAGATACTACTGGGCAAAGAAATCTTTGTGAAGAGGAGATACCTTCATCTTCTGCCACAAAATAAGCAGAAAAAAAAGGAATTGTACTGTGAATCTCCATGAACTGATCCAGACCAGCATGAAACCAGCAGCATCAGGGGAAAGAACTAAAGAGAGCAGTGAAAGCACTGAGCAGAACAATGTACAAATTAATACCCATGAAATGCTTTAGAGGGCTACGAGACAAGAAACCAACTTGCAAGTCAATTAATAGGTGCTGATTTATGTGTTCTCCTTTGGGCAGGAGAATGGAAGTCATAAATGTTCTTTTAAAAGGCCTGGAACATTTTAGTTGGAATCATTTACTGCTGGCTGGTCAGTTATTGATAAGGCTGAGAGCAAAACACAGGTTCCTCTGCTCATACCAGCTGTTCTCTCTGATTTGTGGGCTTTCATAGTTCACCAGTTACACTGACAGTCATCGTGGATAAAATCTGCAAATCAAGAATTCTCATCAGCCACTAGATAGAACTCAACTCTTTTGAAGCCCTAGTTTTGATTTCTCAATTAGAGATTATATTTATTACATAGAAAGGTCGATATCTCGAGCTGTGCTACAGCATATATCATGTCCATTCTCTCTGCTTTTCTAAAATGTTTGAGAGAGCTTTAATTTCATTATTCTGTAATTCTCTATTTGTTCTTTTTCCAATTTGGTCATGTATTAATTGCACTTCTTATGTTCCAAGAGAGAGCTTTTTGCTAAAACTTCACATAAAAGATATCCCATGGCAGATTATTGCTGCTCTTTCAGTACCTTTGCATTACAAAAGATTAACTTTTACTGATCAAAGAAAAAACTTGGTAATATAATTCTTGGAAAAGTACTTAAAAAGTTGTTTCAGGACTTCTAATGTAAACATATATGAAGAGGCAACCCTGTGCTCACCAAACCTCATAGGTAGTTATTAATTACTAGTCATTTAAAGTCCTGTTTCCCAAAGGAATTGCTGGCATTCTCCTCATGAGAATACTGAACATGACTTCAGGAGAGTCCTGTAAATATCACAGGAGTCAGGTGTGATTCTTCATGTGTCTGATCAAATACACTTGATTCCTATAGTGAAAATGAAGTAATATTAATCTTTGGGCTTTTTTATGCTACAATGAAAAAACTATTACTAAGAAAATGCCACTTTATTTTGACTTAAGAATATCTATTTTTTTCTTTACACTTTAAAAAAGGTTCCCTGTTTTGCAGTATGGATCAAGATAAAGATTTTTTTATCTACTCACATGTCTACTAACAATGAAGCAGAGAAAGAAGACAAATGCTCTTTCTTGCTACTGCAATTTGGACTGTTTTGAGCTTCAGTTTGCAGTTTGATTTTTCTTCCAGTGGTTATTAATTATATCAGAGAAAATGCCCATGGTTTATTTTTCAACAGTTTTTTTGGGGAGGGAAGGGAGCAGCTGTATTGCATATGCATGAAGTTTAACTGGGAACTTCATGTGCATGAAGTTTAATTGGGAACTTCATATGCATGAAGTTTAACTGGTTACTTAAAAAGTGCATATTTAAGAGCTTCTGAGTCTGGTTTGTAACTGCCTTTGATACATTCTTCTGAAAAGAAAGGCGTTGTGAAAGAATATTTTTTATGGAGAATATATTTAATGGAGAGTAAATTTTTAGAAAGGTAGAGTTGTCTGCTCGGCTTTACAGGAGCACATGGAAAGTGGCTGCAAGAACTTTTAAAAACATAAATTAGCATCCTAAATTCTGTGAAAAAAAAAATAAATCCAAAACAAAAGAAAAAAATACCCCCAAACAACAAAAAACCCCACCCCTATTAGACTGTCTGTGGCAGTCTAGCTGATGACCTTAACCACTGCAGCCTTGTTCCATTGATCTTTGAATGATGATTGTGGTAAAGTGGCCAAATAAGCCACTTTGAACAAAGTGAGGCAGTTTTAGCCAGAGTTCTGTGCTTAGCTGTGTTTTGATTTCTCCTCCTTTTTATGCTCCCTGCGTCTGAATTTAAAGATGCACCAGCCGTATACACATCTTATTTCCTGTAATATTCACTCTTGACACAGGTTTATCTATAATCAACGTAACTGAAAGATACAATCGTTTAAAAAATCTTTAATATTTGTAGGGTTTTTTTGATTGCTATGTTAGGTGGTATATGGTTTGTATAGTTTGTTAGGTCTCAGTCCAGCACAGCACCAGGTGTATGTGTAACTACACGTGAAAATGCTCCTTTTCATCAGAGTTACTTGTCTGAGGTGCATTCACAGTTTTATGTGAGCACAGTTGTGTATGGATATGAGTTTAATGTGTTGTTAAGCCCATGTATCTTAACCAGTGCTTCTAATTGGTATTTTTTATTAGTACTGCTAATTTTACTCCACATTGTCTTATAAAGAGCATCCTACATTTTATCTTATTTTTGTTTATGGAACATTTCAAGAAGAACCAACAGACTGACTCAGTTCTTTATTTGCTCTGACCAGCATTGTTCAGTCAGTAACAGACCAGATGTTGTAGCTGGAAGCACAGAGGCACTAAGCAAGAACGCCAGAGAGAAAATAGAATAGAACTCATTATTTTAAAAAATGGTAAACGTTCCTGTGCCAAATAGCCACTTTACCCTTCATTGTTCTGCTAACCTCTGTCTTTCTGCACTGTAAAGGGCTATTTACCCTACACAGATAATTACCCTACAAGTGAAAACACTTGCTGCAGTTTTCTCTTTTGTGTATGTGTAGTGTGAGTATTCCAAACAATCTCAGAGAGAGAGAAGAAGTGTTTTCAAATGTGAAAATGTGATTTCAGAACTACAATAATGATGTACTTTATTCAAAGTGTCAAATTTCAAACTACTAATTCTTTTCTTTGATACTGACAAAATTTAAGTCATCAATGTTCTTATGATTGGCTTGTTACTACTTGGTGGTTTCTTTTTTTTCAGTGATATTCTCTGTCTGATATTATTTAAAGAAAACCTCAATTTTTATCAGCTGCTGGTGCTGAAAGTGGCAGAACCTCGCTGACAGCATCCAACTCCCTTGAAAACTACACTTATTTGCAGCAGTTATATTTTATGGTTTCTTTTCTTTTGCAACTTAATGATTTTAAATTTAATTCTGTTTAGGATGTTTGAAGAGCCTGAACACTCACCTTTGCCAAAAGAGAAACATCAGTGGTGTAAACCATTACCTGTCCTACACATTCCTCAGAAATTGGTCCAGTCTGTGCAGAGTATTAGATTCTCAAATCAACAACCAGAAACAGGTGCAGTGTGTTTAATGATTTCTCAGTGAGGATTCTGGATTATTTCTGTGTAAATGAATGGATAATGCACAACAACAAATCTAGTGAACTGCTCCTACTGTGACAGTTGAAGCCAGGTTTTCAGTGGAAGTTGGGTGCTCACCTGTCTTTATGTTCAGGAAATCTTCTATGTCTGGTTCCTCTCGTACCTATGCAATGAGTAAAGTAACATGACAGATACACCTGATGCATGCTGCCAGAAAAATCTGAAACATACCTTTAGCACTGTTTGCATTAGTGCAGGAAATATTAACTAACTATTATTTGATTAATATTTTCATATTTTGTGATAATTTTCTTTTTGCTCTGTATTGAAAGGAAAATTTATAATTGTTGTTCCCAAGTTTACTTTAAAAATGCCATGCTTTGGATACTTAATCCTATTGACAATATTACATAATATTTATTAATTTAGGGAGAGAAGACAAAGAAAAAACAATGGAACTTCCAGTTGCCACTAGCAGTTCCTCCAATCTTGTACAAAATTTGTCAGAGGTATGTAGCTCTCCTAGTGGTAAAAACATGAGATTATATAGTCTGGTTTATGTGGTGGTTTAAATTTAAAACACTTCAAACATACCTTGTGCTATAATATCTTACATGAAACCTGCCAACCCTGTAATCTTGGCAATCTGCTATTATTTGGTAATGACAACAAAAATCTTTCTTTGGTGCCTTTTCATTCTGAAAATGTGTTTGTTCTTGCAAAGCATTCTCATGTCAAACTTGAGGTGCTCCACCTTTCCAACTAATTTTGTGCAATAGTTTTTAAAATTTAGGATAACCTTTGTAGATTCACTTGCTTTTATATAGCAAATTTTTGGAGCTCTAAAGGAGGAGCATAATCTTCCATTACTGATGACTTGTCAGTCATCTACTCCATAATGAAGGATTTCATGAAGGACTAAGTGTGCAGGATGCTGTACAGGTGTGCCTACAGTTAACAGCTCAGTTCTGAGGTTTAACCAGAGACAAAAATCTGGGCTGACAGGAATAAAACCACGAACAACCTTGCTTTGTACACTGCAGGAGTCCACAAGTCCATTTTCTATCACTCACCCAAAAGCACAGATTTCATATGGTATTTTTATGAAATGGTGAAGCGTATTTGTATCTTAAATATTCAAACAAAATCAATCAATCTAGAAACAAGTTGGAGGAACAGCTTGCACAGCTGTGAAAGCCACTAATAGCCTCACAGAGAGCAAGGACATTGATAGGAGCAATAGATTGTTAAGGTATTGAAGGAGTACTCAGATAAGGGAAGGCCATGGGAGACAAAGTAAATAGTTTGTGATTGTGTTTGCTGTGCAGAAGCTCGGGGAAGTTTCCATATCAAAACCTTCTTTCTAAGGGACACCTCACTCATTCTATTTAAACCCAAATGTTACTGAACAATAAAAATCAAGCTAAAATTAAACAGAACCAGTTGTGATTTTCTTAAGAATTTCAAAGGAACTGAAGGAGTAAGTGAGGGAATCACTGACTGGTGTAGAGTGGAGCTTGTGGGAGAAGACAGTGTCTTCAGGATATAAGACAACATGAAGGGCAGTGGCCGGGCTGAGTGGAACGAGGCCAGAAGAAATTTCAGGCAATTCTCATTTGTGACTGGCTGAGGGAGTTGGACATGACAAGGATGATGGAAGGGGCTGTTGCCAGGGTAATCTAGAGATGAGGCTGGAAATCTAGGACTTAGAATTGCACTTAGACAATACTGAGAAGCAGTAAGTCAAGGTTAAGAGAACTTTCAGAAAGGATGATGACAACAAGGAAAAGAAGATGGAGTCTGAGGAAAAATAAGATTGGAAGAAAGGTTGCTATGCTTCAGAGAAGGTGTGCTGTAAACTTCAGGAGTTGAGTGGCAGACAGATAATGCAGAACCAGCCCTTTAGTCCCCTATCCTGAACTGAATTCAGATTGATACATTTTGTAAATTAAAAATAATGTGTTATCTTATGCAGAGGTATAGAACCCTGGTGCTACTCTGCCCTTAAGGCACAAAGACACCCTAGATATAAGAGTTAGGGCTTTTGATCTGATAAAAATCTGTGAGGTGGGAGTACTTCCATGTTTTCTGCAGTTTTTCAATCCACACATGAGATCTGTGCTGACTGAGACTGATGTACACGCTCACATCAGCCTGGCCCAGCCCTTTTTGTGTTGAGCAGCAGCAGCAGCAAACCTGGATAAAGTTTGTAAATTACATAACATTATTTGTGTCACAGAGAAGTTAATTATTCACATCTAGTTATTAATGTTGTGACTAAGACTTTATGAAAATTACAGAAGTGATTTTGGGTATCATGCTCTCAAAATGTAGATAACAGAAATACAGGCAAAAAGGTAGGGGTTTTTTTTTACATTGCCTGATCCTTAATTCCTGGTTAAAAGAAGGGATTTCCACAGTCTAAGAAGAAATCAAAGTGATACTGTTGATGTGACAATTTCATTTGCTGCCTCATTTGAATTTTTCTTCTTTTAGATGGTTATTGACACCACAGGGACCAACAACCCACGAATTGCCCAAGTTCCATCAATAGCAAGCATACAAACCCCAATGAAATTCAGGTAACTTTAATAAAGTAGTTTTCATTCTTAAGGCTGAGGTTTTTGGAAGTAATTCATATTTAGACAAACAATAATTTTTGTCTTTTAGAGTGACAAATCCTCCAAAGCAGTTGACTTCCAGTCAGCAGTTTGAGAGTAAAAAGGCAGTAATGGGTAATGTACCACTGCAATTTTTTTTATAAGGCTGGATCATATAATTCTATGGATCAAATTTTCATTCTGGTGTTAAGAGGGCCACCATTTGTATTCCTTTCCCACTTTGATTATTTAGTTCAAACTTTGAATATAGCAGACAGGCAGATTCATTCTGCATTGACCATTGCCAATGAATGGAAGCTTCCAACAGCTCCTGTAAAATTCATATTCTAGGCTCAAATTACTTGGGTAAAATGAAAACCAGTCTCAAAATCTGCCCAGGAGACATGAGAAAATGCAAAGAAAAGGGGTATAATAAACCCAACCATTTAGGAATCTGGAATCATCACATTAAGATTATTAACGATAAAAATTAACTGCAGAAAAACATACAGAATGTTTATAGAAACAAAACAGGGTAGTTAGAAACACACCTACAGTTTTTGAGATCACAAGGCACTGAACTTCAGTTTAAATTTTTTTTTCTAATTATACTACCAATTTAGATGCATGTAAAAGGTTACAGTCTATATTTTTTTATAAATAGGACACTACTTCTGTGTCCTTAACCCACAGTGCCTGAGATGTTGCATGACCTGAAGCTTGGAGCAGAAAGTCTGATAACATTCCCTCTCGTTTCTCATCCTCCTTTAAACACTTCATCACTGTCACACGGATGTGCTTTTTATATTGTTCCCACCTGGTTTCTATTGACCGGTATTTAGCACTCTCAGAGGGCAATAGCTGGATTAGACAAACACAGCACTCTCAGGGAACAATGGGTAGGTTTAGAGAACACACCAAACCACGTGAAGCAGCCCGAGTAATGCTCTGACAATAGTGAGTAAGTGGCAGAACAAGAGGTAATTATTATGGATGTAGCCACAGAGTGGGTTGTTATGAAAACCACAGTCAGAACACTTCCTCAGCAATAGCAACGCCAACTCAGTAAACCTTCCTCAGGGATTCTTTCCCACAATGTAATTTTTATGCACCTGTTCAAAAAGCTGCTGTAATACAGGCAGTGCTGCCTTTTTTTGTGCAGCAAACCAAGAGGCCAAACGTGGTGATAAAGAAGCAGGTGAGCCGAAGGAATCTTCGCACATACCTCAAGTAAGCAAAGCATTTCTTATGTCATAAATAATTAATTAATTTACAATAGTCGAAGTATTTTGACATATTTGAATGGGTTGGCAAGAGGTGAGTCTCAGAAATTGGCAAAGTGACTCACTATAAGGCACACAATGAGTGAGGAACCAACCAGTACCCTCTGGTTGGTAATACAGTGATCATTGCTCTTGATCACATCAGTGTTCTGAGGGTTTTTTTGTTGCTTTAACAATGGACCATTTAGGATGACTATCCTATGCACATCACATTTTTTGTATCAATTGGTGCATAACATTTTAGTCAGTGTGAGCTGATGAAACATTAAAAAAAAAAAGACTGCTTTTGAAACTTATTTCTCATGCAGAACTGTGCTAAACAGGCTCAGTGCTGGCTCCATTGCCACTGCTTTTACCAGGTGTGCCTGGATGGGAGGTCAAGCACACATAATATTCAAGTGATATTCAAGCCAGTTGTGTTGCACATGTAGGTGGTATCAAGATGTGGTTTAACACCCACCAGCAGCTGAGCACCACACAGCCACTTGCTCCCTGCCCCTCACAGTGGAAAGGGGAACAGAGTCAGAAGGGTAAAAATGCAAAACCTTGTGGGTTGAGATAAAGACAATTTAATAGGTAAAGCAAAAGCCGTGCATGCTAGTGAAACAGAATAAGGAATTCAGTCATTATGTCCTATCTACAGGCAGTTGTTTAGCCATTTCCAGGAACAGAGGGCTCCATCACTCGTAACAGTTGCTTGGGAAGGCAGATGTCATGACTCCAAACATTCCCCTCTTCCTCTTTCTTCCCTACAGCTTTTATTGCTGAGCATGACATTACATGGTGTGCAGTACCTCTGTGGTCAGATGGGGGCAGCTGTCCCAGCGTGTCCCCTCACAAATCCTTGTGCACCTCCAGCCCACTCACCGGTGGGAGAGAAACAGAAAAGACCTTGATGCTGTGTGAGCACTGCTCAGCAGTAACTAAAACATCCCTGAATAATTATCACTGTATCTCCCATACCATCCACTGTGAAGAATATGATCTCTACCCCAGCCCAAACCAGCACACAGCTACAACTAGTAGACAAGATCAAGTCTGAGATACTCCTCATCCTCTGGTTGATTCACTACAGAATGATGCCTGAAATCAACTGATGGAGAAGAAATACTTAAAACAATATTGAGTCTGGTGGAAATTGCCACACAGAATCCAAGTGTACATTCTCATTTAACCTTTTCTGAGGAAGATGAAAGGTCTCAGTCAACTGAAATATATTCTGATGGTGATGTTCCTTTAATTCACTAGGGAGTATCAAGAGGATTCCAGTGTGACCTTAAACATTATGCTAAGACATACTTTGGAATTACATCTTTTATTGAAAATGTTAGTTCACAAGTTTTTTTATTTTTTGGATGAAAATTTTAACTCACAGGAAGTCCATTTTAGTTGAGTAAATTAAGGTTACATTTTTAAGAATGGTGAATATGTCACTGTGAGCATTTTATTAAAAACCTTTTATTTTTCATGAGTCATAACTAGACCTAAAGCATATCATTAACATATTTATAGGTAAATGGGCTAATGATATTTTGGGAGATTTTATATGTTATAAACATTGTTGTATATTTCTTTTTAAATAGGATGTACACACATGTTTTAATCCAAATGAAGATAATCCTGACATAGTAGAAGAAAGTGCAGAACCATTTTTAAGAGCACCTAAAACACCTGACTTAAAGGGGAAGAAGATGCAGTTCTCTGAAACACCTCCCTTTGACTTGTATGATTTCAGCTTTTATTTGATCTTGAGAAAAAAGCTGTATTGATGTTTATTGTATAAGCCTTTCTGTACTATAGCAAGAATTTTCTAGAAAACTGGTCTGAAAATATTCAGATTTTTTTTCCAATTTATTCTAGGCATTTATTAGGTTTTCTTCTTATAATATCCCTTCCACTTGAAGCTGTTTAAAAGAGCAGGACTCTGCTTAGAAATATGAGACACATTGTCTTTTCCTGCAGTAATATTTGTACCCCTGATTTCTATCTTTAAATAGGTTGCTTTTGTTAGAAGGGTAGGGAATTGGTAAGAATACCACTTTTGCTTTAAAGAATTGTGTTACCTGTGCTGTGATGCAAGAAGAAATTACTGATGGAAGCTATGGGGATTTAAAAAGGTGAAAAAACAGGAAAAAGAAAAAAAATAGAACAAAAAAACCATCATTACTTAGGAAACTACTAATATGGTTTATTCCTTTCTGTATTTACAGCATTCAAAATTTAGGTTGTGAAGAAGGAACATCAAAATCTCCTGCTTTCTTTTCTCTCATGAACTTCTCCCAGAAGTCACCTGGCTTTAACTTCTTTGGTTCTTCTGTATTTGGGGCACAAAACTCATCTGATGAGGTAATAATGATTACATGTGAACGCCACATTTCCACAAAGCAAAATAAGTGAAGAAAACAGCACTGACAGTGAATGAGATTTTTCAGACTGGTTATCTTGTAGTAATTTTTTTTTTTAATATCTCACTTAATTTTACTTTGTTGTCCTTTGAAAATGTTTAACTCCTTTCCTGGCAATTCCCCCTATGATGACTTCTGGCCAAGTATGAGTCTTTCTCAGATGGATCTTGTGCAAATGTAGTGGTGACTTGATTCACCAAAAGGCTTCTGGTTCAGTGTTACAGTGCAAAATTTAGGTTCTCTAGCAGAATTCCCAGCTCACATGCACATCCTGTGTAGTTTTGTCTTGATGAAGTGAAGAACAGTGAGAAAGGAAGAAAGCACAATCTATTAAGGGCATTGAACAGCAAATATGGAATAGCTATACTTAAATGGAGGAGCTATGTAGGCAACTATTCGGAACAGGGAACGGAATCCAGGCCTTCCTTTTCCTTGCAGATTCCCCAACTGCAGTGCTGCCGAGTCAATTTTCCTCTCCTGGGTTAACAGAGAGATAATTGGGGATCCAGGATGGGTGTGTGTCAGTGCCTAGGACAGGGGTTAGGTACCACTTGGCAATGGAGATCCAAACCCCATCATGCAAATAAGGGGTTTGAGCTCAGGTATCTCCTGTTTCAGTGGACAGAAGCTGAAAGAGGGGTGAGGGAAAGCACCATTTCATTTTGTGTTTGGCAAGATACATGATGTTGGTGTCTTGTAGCATGAGCTGTGTGTAGGAGAGAACACACTGGTGAGTGATTTGTGAATTATTGAGGTGGATATTAAGTCATGCAGTGCTGTCAGAACCCACATTATTTCGTGCCTGTTCAGACTGTACCAGAGGTGGGATTCTCTGCCATTAGATTGGAGTTTTGTGGGACTTCAGTATTTGTTTTAAATGTAGCATAAGAACTCTCCTCAAGAGTGACAAGTGATTACGCTGCTACTCTTTCTGGCAATGGCAGGTCCTACTCAGTAGGAACTAATTGTGTTGTTGCTTAGAGGTTTTCTAAAATGTCACAGAATGAAATGATTTTGGTTTTTTTTCAGTTTAAACAACGGCAGTTAGCCAGATCAGCTTTTGGACAGCTACCAACCTGATGTGGGTTTTTTTCTAGGAGAATGGAGGGAGTGTGTTTGCAGATATGTGCAACTATAATCAAATCTATCTGATCAAAGAGTTTCCTTTGCAGCTTTAGGGACTGATATACACCTTTGAATACAGATTTTGTGAAGGCTGCTAACACTGAGACAGTGTCTTTCTCACCAAAAGCAAAAGAGCATATCACATACCTGCATTAGAGCTTATCTGTTGCCTTTCTCGTTTGTTAAATAGAATATTTGTTTACATTTTCAGACAGAAGAAAATTTTTCTGTGGGAAACCTGAACCCTCAGTCCCCACACAAAGATATTGGTAAGTCTGGAACTCAGATGTGCTTGTGTGGACCAGCTGTCTTCTGCTTTATATGTGTTTATATGACTGACAAGCTCATGATCCTGCTTAGCAGAGCACCTTTGTTTGCCTTGAAAGGACGGTCAGGTGTGATAATGTAGCCCAGTGGTTTATTGTGCTCATTTGTGTTTACATGAGCTTAAATCTTTCCTTGCACGTTTGGCTTCAAATGTCTGAGACACCATGGGAAAAAAAAGAGGTATGAGAAAGAAAGAAATAGCAGTAGTGGCAGGTGTGTTTGAAGCAAACTGAGAGGACCTGCAAGGGAGAAGAAAAATTCAACTCTTAAAGCTTTTTCACAGATAAAAAGGACAGTTATTTTAACATAAAAAGCTGTAGTACTTGGTAAATACTACTTTCACTTAAAGATACCAGCTTAGGGTTGGAAAGAGTACATCTGCTTGGGTTTTGCTTGCTCCCTCAACTAAAATGAAAATAAAGTTTCCATTTGATTAAAGAAATCTCAGTAGTAAACTAACTTTCATCGGTGTAAACTGTTGAAAGTACACAAAGTAAAAATGGCACAAAAGAGCAGAATCAGAATTAATACACAGTATCTTTCACTCAGTATGAGTGAGCCACAGACATTTGCATGATCTGTGTGAAGTCCTGGATTTTCTGAAAGGAAAAGCCAATTTTTCGTTATATCAATAGGATAGAAACTTCTGATCAAGCACTCCCCTGAAGGGAACTGTAACCTAATCTTTTTCTTTTGAGGTGCTGCAAGTGCAAAGCTACTTTTTTTTAAAATTGGATGAGTATAGAATATAAGGGTTTATGCATATGTAGCTGTTGTTAAGTGTGTGAATTCTGTGCTACTAAATAAAAATTCAAGTGTTTTTCTGTCAGCAGCTTTGTTTTTCCAAGTATTTCAGTGATTGATCACATCGTTCTCTAAAGAAACACTTTTGTAGATTCTGTTTACAAAGACCTCTGTTGCTCTGTTGCAAAATATATCATGCACAAGTGTTTTGTTGTTCTAAATCATTCGAGCACTTCACACTTCCTTCGATGTAGATTCTAATAATGACCTCCTGGAAATACCATTTCTAGTGCAGAAATAAACACACAACTGTACATTGATGCTCAGCAGGACGTTGGGCATAATGTGTTTTTAAAGAAACATATGCTGAATGCAGTATTCTCTCAGTAAGATTTAATCTAATTATAAATATGTGTATTCCATATAGGGAGCTTCTTTGGGAAACCTGAAAGTGAGGATGCATTTGCCTTTCCCTTCGCCTCAGAATTGACTTCTCATGCATTTGGAGATGGAAAAGATGACTTTAGTTTTCCATTTGCATTTGGACAGGATCAGAGATCATCACAATCTCCTTCTATGAAAGGTTTTCATTCTTCCTTACAAAATACAAAGCAATTTACACTCTTTTGAATGCCTTGACTTCCTTTTAAATTCTTTTCCTACTTAGCCTTGACAAATGTTTTCAGTTTCTGAAGTTAAAGTACAAAGCATTTCATCTACTCCTTTCATTTCTGTAAGAAATAATGTAAGAATACATTACTGTAGTTGCTGCAAGAACATGTGTGTGCTCATCAACCACACACACTTTGAGATGCAGATTTATTTTTCTTATTTATTTTCTAAAGGTGTTTTTTTCATAAAATGTTATGATACGCTCTTGCCAAATTGGCACTTAGAAGCAGCAGAAATATCATTTTACAGTAGTGAGTTAATTGAATATCTGTATGAGAGTATCTAAACATGTAGATGACTACTTTCAGCCTCTGATATAAACTAAATTACTTGTGTTAGTAAGAGTGACTGTTTATTGTAGCAGTAAAAGCTGAATTTGAGTTAAAGACACTGTTTTAAGCATTCTGTGTGTAACAGCTGATTTATAATTTTGAAATAAACATTTTTGTTAATTTTATGTGAAGTTTTGTAGGTATTTCTTAATATCTGGAGTGAAACAATGTTCCAATTGTAATACTTAACATTTCAAATTCAGTCTTTCCACTCGACATACTGAAAGCAAATTTTTTCCTCTTTATCTAGAGTCTTTCAAAAAAAAGGCAGAGACAGTTCCCAAAGTCTAACTGTGGTCAGCACAAGTGTATCCCTCAGCTCTCCACAAAGACCTTTCCTTATGGAAAGAATGGCTTTTAAGACAATATCAGGGTTACTCAGCAAGGAATTCTGACTGTTCTGAGCCAGCACAGCCCTGTGCCCTGTGAATCCCTCAGAACCATCTTCTCTAGAACCACAGCTTTCACATTTATGGCCTTTGAAGGAAATACCAGATCACTTTGGAGACTTTTTTTTCCTCTTACATATGAAGCATAGGTTACTAATTTTGGATGCTCTTTATGAATTTATGAGGGAATTAGGTTTCTCAGTCATTTACTATGAAACAAACACCCTGCCTGACAGCAGGCAAGCAAAATAGAAGACCAGATTTCACAGAAGACATTGCAAATGCACAAACTAGTTAGGAGGGCATGTAGACTGAGTGGAACAAGTGGACTAAAAGCATCCTGTCCATAGAATGTACACAGTTTGCCAAAAAATGTCAACAGTGTCCGAAGGGGAGTAGAGTCCCTTTTCCCTCTGCTCACCTGCAAAGCCCTAAATGACCAGAAGCTTGGTTATCTATGCCACTATTTCTTTCCTGCCAAACTCCTAAATGTCTCAGGACTATTGTTGTAACACCCAGATTTTCTTAAGTACTAGTGCCTAGAGATTTGTGAAAGTTGGTTTTTTTTTTTTTAAATGGAGATGAATCAGAAAGTTTTAGTGAAGTCCTGCTGAAGCTCAGCTAATGAGAAGCGAGACTCAGCTTTTCTAATCTGCTGCATACCTGGCAATCTGAAAAACATAAGGGAGATATAAGTTTGAGGCTGTGTTATTTGGGGCTGAAGTTTTCTTTCCCCTCTCCTGATGGATTCTGTCATCCGTGTCTCTGACATTAAAGTCCAGAAGCCAAGGCTGCAGACTGAAGTGGCAGAAACCATAGTTCTAGGTCTTGGTGGATGTTTACTGACAGAAATTGAATAGGCTGATTAATAACATAAAAGAGAAAGCTGTTGAAAAAGAGCTCTGAAAGAGGCAACCACTCAGCATTTGGGACACTTTATTGAGGCTTAAGAGCATGAACTGCTAATAAACACACACTGAGTTTTTTTCATGAGTATCAGTCAAATTCTGTCTTAAAATGGTCCCTTGTTGGCCTCTAGAATCAATAGCAGCCACGTTGCTGGATTGCTGACACAGAATGTATCTCACTGACCAATGTCATTTTGGTTCTTCCCTTACACACACACCTGACTGCATCCACCTCTGGTCTGAAAGCTGTGTAGACAGAGATTCTCCTGTCAGTGCAGTGAGAGCTGCTTGAGAGCAAAATTCCAGGTATTCCAGGTGTTACACATGTTACTACAGCTGAGCTGGAGACCAGGAACCTCCAGCAGCGCCGTGGCAGTGGCAGCTGGGAGCTGTAATCTCCTAAAAGCAGTGCAGCTGTCAGCAAGGTGGCAGTGGGGTTATGCTGTGCCCCTGTGCTGTGAATCCTTGGAATGGGCGTTGCCTTTTTGTTCTGTCCTCGATTTGCACCTCATGAAACAGAGCTCAGGTGTTCACAACCGAGCCCTAAGGTACTAACAGCAAAAAACCTCTCTTAAATAAGCAGAGAAGGGATTGGGCTTTGAATCTTATATGGGTATCCTCCTCAGAAGGCAAATGTTTTTTTGATATATTTACTGTTCCACTTAAGTTTTTAATGAAGTTTTTGGCAGAAAACCACTTCACTTGAAAAATTCCTTGTAAAAGGTAGTGTACCACCCTGCATTAGGTTAAATAAATATTTATAACAGATATTTTATGTCACCAAATTGTGAGGAAATATAATGATATTCGAAGAAATCAGTTTTCGGATTTCTTGAGTAAAATGTTTGAAAAGTGACTACTGACATTCACACTCCTACCTGCTGCTGGGATGAGACAGACACTGATGCCTCAGTTTTGTTTCTCCCTCAGAAATAATAGCTACATGGAGATGTTATTTTTCTGCTCAGAAATAACACAGACAGCATGTCTCCACATATGCCTTGTTGTGCAAAGTGGTCTTCCAGTAAAAAAAAAAAAAACAACATTATAATTTGTAAAGTAACATAGCACCTTGTCTGGAGCACCATCTACTATTTTACTGATAGTTTTACTGATGCATAAATGTAAAGCATGTTTATAAAGTTGGGGGTATTTGACTAACAAATGAGCAACAGCTGGATAAGTTTGGTGCTCAAAAATTCATGTAGCAACTGTGAGGTAAAGACTGATGTAACGACTTCCAGCAGTTTTGGGATATAAGATTTATCGTCATGGAATGCTGTTTTATGGCTTCACACACCACTTTTGACAGGAAATTAGACTTTCAGCAAACTGTTCACACTCAAAAATCAAATTTTATGTTAAGAGCAATTTATGAATTTTCTGTAACTTCAGTCCAAGTCTATCAGTATAAAGTGCATATGCCCAGCATAACACTCTGTAGGACAAATTTTGTTGTGCTGTTATATGTGATATTTAAGGTGACAAAACCACAGGAGTTATTTATATTTTGTGTCAGAAACACTGCTCAGTATTCAAGCATGAGTAGGGCATCTGAGAGTGTTAAAATTGGCTTTTTGCCATATTAAATTGTCAGCCATACGCTGTCTGAATACTTTGAGGGGGAAAAAAAGCGTATGGCATGGCACTGTAGACTCATCTAATTGCTCAATGATTTTATGTGTAATAAAGCAAGAGCAACCAGAATTCTGGATTGGAAAAACTGCAGTGACAAAAGTGGTACAAAACTGGAGTTACAACCCACAGGGTTGGTTAGATAACATTAAAAGTAAGCAATGGGCTCTGTTTCTATGTTCATATTATTAATAGGATGCAAAAAATATCACCTGTATTCTAAACATCTAACAATTAATGAAAACTTAATTTAAAAAAAAAGTGTCAGTGGTTTACAGCCCTAGTTGCAGCCTTTCCACACAGTTCAAGATAATTAGTTCATTGAACCTCGTTGTACATTGTGCCTCCCCAGTCTGGGCCCTATGCAAAGAAAAAATATCTATTTTAATTATCATTTCAAGCCTATGAACATAATTAAGACTTCATGTTGGAAGTACAGGGGCACCTCTGCCTGTGCGTGGGCAACGTTTGGGGCAGGGGTAGAAGAATCCCTACATCCCAAGAAAACAATCTTACACCATGGCATTAGTAGGTTTAAGCATTTCAAGGAAATAAGCTTTAAGTGCTACATATTGTAACAGATTGGAATGTGTAGACTTACAGTATTAGATGGTTGTAATCCCCCCAGTGCAAGGCTGATTGCAAGGGTAGCAAGAGTTGGCTAATCCTTTTCGGCCAATGGCATAAAACAAGGATTAGTTTTTCATTTACTGCAACTGAGTGGGTCATTAGGATCCAAAGACACTAATGAGCCAGAACAGGCAATTGGATTCTGGTTTCAAAGTTATGGGCTAGTTTCAAAGGGGATTGACTGTGTCTTTTAATGATTTAAAACATGATGTTTCGGTGACCTTTTGCCTGAAAAAAATGAATGAAGGATATAACCGTGGAACACAAACCTGGGATGTTGGGTTTTTTTCCTCCCAAAACTTGAGTTGTTGCCAGATTCATTGCCTTAGAGGCTGAATGGCTCATTTAGAAATATCTCTGTTGCCTTGCTTTTATGTTCTGCTCTTGATGTCTCCAGAGTTGACACAAGTCACATGCAATCAAGTCTGTATTCCTGGTGGACAGGAACTGTCCTAATATCCTCTGACTCACACCCAGGTTGTTTGCAGCTCAGCAGTTCTGCTTCCAGACACATCACTTTGTGTTCTGATGCCAACATCTTGCTGAGAAATTGCCTCTTGGCACGTTGTTTCTTGAATCCTGTACCTTGCTTGATTTGATGTGAAGATGATGCTCTTTTTTGCACTTGCAACACATTACTGTTGGAAAGGTAAATTTTTTTCCCCCACCTTGCTACATCCCAGATTTTCTTCTTTCCAGGAATCACTTGAATTCAGCAATAATACATAGCTTGTGTTTTGTTTCATTCAAATCAAGCAATGCTGCCAGAAGGGTATGAAGGAAATATCAAAGGATGGACATTCCCATGTTAATAAAATGTTTAGACACATGCAAAAGGCAAATACTTTGACTGTTATAACTCCCCAGGAGAAACAGTGTCAAATGTTTTAATAGCACGAACCTAATTTTCTGTATCACACCACAGTCCACAAAGAAGCCACCAAATTATTTCACATGGCAGAGTACTTACTCAATAATCCTTTGAGACTTGGGCTGGGGAAAATCAGGGAAAGAAGAACTAATGTGAAAAAAAAAGTTCTTGCTAGTGGGGAACCAGCTGTTCTGACCGGTGGGAAGCTTGGAAGCTGACAGTCCACACTGAAACTCTGTTTGGAGCTTGCAGTTCTTGTCTGCTCCCTTCTGCCAGAGCAGGACTGCCTCGAGCTGAGCTCTTGCTGCTCTTCTCTTTTTCTTGAGGCACATGTGTGGCACGTTTTAGCTGTTTCCACAAAATGCATGATGGTCAGGGACAGTGCTCACTGCCACAGCAGCAAAAGGCTTATGTCCCGAAGTTACGGGTACCAGAAGTGGTTTAAAATGTTTCTTAACACTCACAGAATTGCCAAACCTCTGAAGCACTCCAGGTGTTACCCAGGCAGGACTGGTGTGCACCACAATTTTGAATCATGTCTCATGTGTTTGCAAGTGTCACTGGACACAGTACTGCATGGTGATTTTTTTTTCCTTGGGAATCTTTCCCTGAATACTTCACCAGTCATGTATCTCACCTTTACATACACTGAAGGAGCTATCATAGGCAGCTGCCTGTATGTTTTTCTCCCT